ATTGGGAGCCCTCTAACTCAGATATGCTTGATAGTGATCATCTGATTGTGTGAGTGAGTGATTTTTAGTGCGTTGCATTGCGAGATTGCATCGAGTGACACTAAGTGTTCGTGTTGTAAGCTGGTGGTGCTTGTTACTCTTGGAGTTTGCCACCTCCTAGATGGCTTAGTGGTGTGATCTCCGTCGAAGCATGGAAGGAAGTTTGTGTGGTGCTCCGGAGAAGATTGTGAGGGGTATTGTGCTCACCCGCGGGAGCCGCGAAGAGCAACTCTAGTAGAGCGAGACACGAAAGGGCGACAAGTGGTCTAGTTGAGTCAAGTGCTAGCGCTTGTGGTAAGCACTCTAAGTGGGAGAGTGTGACTTGCGGGTCACGACTAGCAAGAGGACCGGCGGCAACCTTGGAGCTTGTCTCAACGGGGACTAGCATGTTCGCAAATACATGATCCTCGAGATAAAAATCATCATGTCATCCTTGTCATCCCGTTGGTTTGCATTCCCTTTCACAAGCTCATAGTTTCATATACTTTGTGCTTATATAGTTGCTCTTGTAATTAGTTAGCTTGTGTAGCTTACTAATTACCTTCTTGCTTGTGTAGCATAGAAGTAGCTCCCTTACGTGGCTAATTTGGTTTTAGTAACCTTGTTAGTAACATTGCTTAGTTTGTGTAGCTGAGTAATTTATGACTTCTGTAGCCTTGTTATTGAGCATTGCTAGTGAGCTTAAATGACTTTGTGCTTTTGCTTACTAGCATGTGTAGGAGCTCCTCCGTTGCTTGAAGTACTAGTGGCATAGGTTTATATGACCTTGCTCCTAGAATTGGTTAGGTGAGCTCTAGCTAGCCCGGCACCTTTGTTGCCTAGTTAGGATCTTTATAAGGTGCTTAGGAACTTAGATAAAGGGGTGTAGTCTTGGCTAGACCGTTAGTTTTTATTCCGCATTTATCTTGGTTAGCCGACGCGTTTATTTTTATTAAGGACTATTCACTCCCCTCTAGTCCGTCATCTCAACCCTACAAGTGGTATCAGAGCATGGTATCTCATTTGTGATCTTCACCGACCTAAGAGGACGGCGTCTAGTGGGGTAGATGATTATGAGACACACATTTTTATGGCATAAACTTTGCACATTGAAAAAATCACATGCTTGATCATTTTCGTGCAAAGGGACCTAAGTTTTGGTGGATTATTACTAGTGGTCTCACTCATGTTTTGGACCATATAAATCTCACCAAAGCTCAAAGAGTTATCTTTAAACTTGATGCGCATGCTTGTTGTTATCTAATGGATGCTTCGAGCTTTGGTTTGATGAAAAAGATAAACTACATGGGAACCGCTCGTGAGATATGGGAATCAATCAAGCACACCTTCGGTGATTCCTCCACTTGGGATGATGGCAAGTTCAAGGAGTCCAAGGAGGTGATGCAAGAGTGTGTCGAGCATGACCATAATTTGGTGATTGTGGAAGAGTGCTCCACCTCATGGTTAAGTGATGGTGATTCTACCTCAAGTTCACTTGACAAGATAGATAATGATGCCACAAGTGATGCACATGATGATTCTACCTCAAGCACACTTGGTGATGATGGTTGATGCTCGGGACATGAATATGATGCTACTACAAGCCCATCCACTACACCACATTGCTTCATGTCACAAGGTGACACCAAGGTATCAAATGCTAATGTGGTTGATCATGTTGATTCATATGATGAGCTTGTTAGTGGACTTGCTAGCATGACCATGTCTTTAGAAAATGAGAAAGCTAAAACAACAAAATTGGAAAAATAAAACTCATTTCTAAAGAATTCATGTGAAGATAATAAGTACTTACTTGATGTTCTTAAATCTTCACATGATAAGCTAAAAATGACTCATGTGAAGCTTTTTGTATCTCATAAAAAATTATTAGAATAATATGCTTCTCTCATTAAAGCTTTTTCAAAGAAACTTAAAAATAATAAGAGCTCATCACATGAGTCAAGTGATCAATTGCAACATGTGACTAACTCTTGTGATGTAGGGAAGAAGCATGCATCCACCTTTTGTGATGATTTATTAGATATGCCATGTTCTTCACATATAGATGCCTGTCCTACCTCTATGTCCTGTGAAACTAATTTTTTGAAGGAGAACAATGAGCTCAAAAGAGAAGTGAAGAAATTGAGCAACAAACTAGAGAGGTCTACAACTCAAAAGTCACCTTTGAGCATATGTTGAAGATTCAAAGAAACTTCGGTGACAAGAGTGGTCTTGGCTTCAACAAGAAGATGACAAAGGGCGAAAGAAAAAAAGAAAATAAGATGAAGAAGGAAGCATGAGAGAAGCTTTCTCATTTCATATGCTATCGATGCCATAAAGTGGGTCATCTTCATGATCAATGCCCTAACATAGAGAAGCTCGAGAAGAAGAAGAGAGTGTGACTTGCGGGTCACCACTAGCAAGAGGACCGGCGGCAACCTTGGAGCTTGTCTCAATGGGGACTAGCGTGTTCGCAAACACGTGATCCTCGGGATAAAAATCATCGTGTCATCCTATTGGTTTGCATTCCCTTTCACATGCTCGTAGTTACTTTTATATACTTTGTGCTTGTGTAGTTGCTCTTGTAATTAGTTAGCTTGTGTAGCTTACTAATGACCTTCTTGCTTGTATAGCATAGAACTAGCTTTCTTGCGTGGCTAGTTTGGTTTTAGTAACCTTATTAGTCACATTGTTTAGTTTGTATAGTTAAGTAATTTGCGCTCTCTAATTTAACTTATGTAGCCTTATTATTGAGCATTTCTAGTGAGCTTAGGTAGCTTTGTGCTTTTGCTTACTAGCATGTGTAGGAGCTCGTCCGTTGCTTGAAATACTAGTGGCATAGGTTGGTGTGACCATTGCTTCTAGAATTGGTTAGGTGAGCTCTAGCTAATCCGTCACCTTTGTTGTCCAGTCAGGATCTTTATAAGGTGCTTGTGAACTTAGATAGAGGAACGTAGTCTTGGCTAGACCGTTAGCTTTTATTCCGCATTTATTTTAGTTAGCCGACATGTTTATTTTTAGAAAGAACTATTCACCCATCCCTCTAGTCCACCATCTCACCCTACAATAGACTAGCGGCTCCTCTGTAGCGGGCGACCAGCAGCCGAGTTGCGTAGGGCGGTGCGGGCGCGTGGCTTCAAGGTCATCTTCTTCCACGGCTTCACCGGACACCAGCTCCCGCGTCGACACCGACTTCCATGACTGCCGCACCGTACCTCGCAACGGGGAGGCGCTCGCGCCTGTGTCGTCCTCGGCTCTGACGCCATGCTCTGCTAGGAGAATGCCTTTACCATGGTGCCACAGGACCTTCGTGGCCGCGCGCGGTGCCTTTGCTGAGAGGATTAGCCCCAGCTTCTGCGTTCGCGATGACAGCACCTGGCGCACGCGCGGATTCGACTTCATGGCGCAGTCGCAGCAGTTCTGCGGGCGCTCCGGTAGAACGTGCGATGTCCTCGGTGACAATTTGCCATGGACACCCTTCCCTACCCCCATCGTTAGCCTCCGCCGCCGGCGTCGTCATCGAGTAGGCGTGTGTCCAAGGTTTGGATCGCGTTCATTGGGGTGGTGATGCACTGATACTAGAGTCGCCGACAGGGCGGCGCACCATCTGCAAGGATGCAGAGAGCAGAAGCCCCACGACCGCTTCTGCACGCTGCGCAGCCTCGGCTGCTCCACCGCCACTACGCGCACATATGCCGCCGCTGGTGCTGCTTTTGGCCGGCGACTTCGATCTCTTGGGCGCCATGGATGCTGGTTTCACGTACTCGGCACTCACGTACTCGGCACTCACATGACTGCCGCACCGTACCTCATAGCGGGTGGCGCGGTGCCGGTCAGTGCCCCGTCTCGTCGGCCTGTGCAGTGCTAGCTGCCCTCCAGATGCAGCTTTGGTCGCCGTGGACTCGGCTCCTTTTCGTCCCATAACGCGACGCGTTCGATGACCATGGATGCTTCGGGCGTTATGGACGAAGGAGCTGTTGCATTTTTTAATTTAAGTAGTTGTTGCATTGATGATGAAGTTGTTGACGAACGCGTCGTCTCTACGGCCGGCCGTCCGGCTTGCACAGGTGCACGTACGCCTTCCTGGTGACTGAAGAAGCTTACTGCTGCTACTTGCATATACGTGTAGATACTTCTATTAGCTTGTTGCATACCTATATATACGTACATGATATACACATGCAACTTGCTAGCCTGTTTCTTCTAGCACAACTCACGTATGTAGGCGATTAGTTCATGCATCCTACCTCTTTTCTTTATAGGGCAAATACGTGACTGCTTATGCATTTTGGTTACTAGCTATCTTCCTGCTAACACTATTTAAGTAAACACTGAAAAGAATATTGTGATGTATTTCTCATTTTTGTCCCTTAGCTTCAATTTATTGTCAGCCTTATTTGCTTTCGAGGATGATAGTCACGACGCTCCTCGTCCGACCGAAAATGCTCTCCTCCTCTATTGTCTGTTTGGCACCATGGCACAGGAGGAAAATGAAACTTCAGCTTACTTCTCTAGTTTATGGGTATTTAATTTTTTTCATAGCTGCATTTGACATTGTTACCACCCATTATAGGGCCTGTTCGCTGGCTGGTGCTGGTGCTGGTTTGGGTTGGCTGGTGCTGGTTTTTTGTGAGAGGAAAACACTGTTGGCTGACTGGTTTGGGTTGACTGAAACCAACAAGCAAAAAGACTGATAGACGGAATAATGTGGAGAGAAAAAAAGCTCCAACCAGTGACATCAATGATTCCTTAAATTTTTTAATAGCTCGTGAATAATTACACACTCTTATAGACGCGGCTAAAAGCGTCGAGCCAAAAACGCCGGTTTCCAGTCTTCTAGACTGTCAGTTCTCACGAAAAACTCCGAAAAAAAAAAATCCATTCCCCGACACTTCCCGCCTCCTACTCTTCCAGGCTTCCACCTCACCACCGTCGCCTCGTCGGCGGCTCGGCTCGGCGCGTCCGCTTCCCGCCGCCCTCCGATGACGCCATCCTACAGCTCCGGCCCCTCAGGGCCCGCCGGGGGGCGGAGGGCGGCGACCTTCGCCGGCGCGAGCGTGTTCCTGTCGCGGAATCTGGTTGCCCCCGAGGTGTTCGACGCCGTGCACGACGCGCTCCGCCTCAACGGCGCCGAGGTCCTCCTCTGCGCCGACCCGAGCCGCACGGGATCCCTCGACTTCCACGTCATCTCATCCTCCTCCCACGTACGCACGCGCCCTTTCCCCTACCTCGAATCCGACCGCCTCTTCCGTTTCCCCAATCCCCAATAATGTTTATTTTCCTTTTTTTGTGTCAATTTCTGCAGGAGAGGTTCGCCGATCTACGGGCTAAAGGCTGCAATTTGCTAGGTGAGCATCTCCACAGTTCTGGAATTGGGCCCTATGGTTGCGCAGTTGTTTTGTTTGTTTTCTGACTAGAGGAATTATTCCAGATGCAAGTTAAATTAGGTTCAATTGTTTACAATGCCTTGACGATTGGAAGCTGCATTATTGGATTTCAGCAATTTGTGACTCTATGGTCCATAACTTTAACTGTTAGGGTTAGATTGGTGTTAAGACTAGATAGTCTACTGCTAGAGATTAGTGTGGCAGATTGTTAAAAACTAGATAGTCTACTGCTATCATTTAAAAGTACTTCAGTTGTTAAGACTGCTGGATTAATTTGATAGGTGGATTGTGCTGAATTTGCAACATGGAGCTAAATTTGTTAAATCTGGGTATCTGATGCCCCAGCCTGATCTTTATTAGGCCTGTTATTATGATAACAGTTGCAAGAATGGCAGTAGTCGCACTTTGCCAGCTAATGTTGGTCTTAACCAACATAAAAAGCCATAAGAATCCTAGGTGATGGCCTCCTGTCAACCCTTTTGTGTGAAAATGAAAAGAAGATGGAAGCTCATGTGGGTTGTCTATACATCGTTTGTACTATGTGTGGGTAGGCTAGAGCATGATGGGATCTTGGGGCACTACAGATAGCCATCTTATTTATTACCTCAGGTTGTGCAAAGCTTGCTGTAATGCTGCATTTGATTTGTTAAGACTTAAGAGTATCTTCAATTGAGAATTTAGTTTCATGCACAATATACTGCTTTGTATGAACTAAGTTTGTTAATGTCTTGGGAGGAGGTTCCTGTTTAAGGTATCTTGCTTGTCCAAAGTTTGTTGCAGCCAAAGGGCCCAAACTTTTCATGCTTTAGTGCTGAAACTTGTAGATAAGATTATTTATGAGTCGCTAGGGACCTGATCATGAAAATTGTTGATGCAATCTATGTAAATTTTCTCTCTCCAGAACATGCCAAGTGAAGCTATGATCAATCATGTACCTGTTTATCTTTTTATCTTGAAAAAGTATCAGGCTTTCTTGTTAATTTGGACTCCAAAACGTTACTTGTCTTGCAGTGCATAAATTTTCTCTGTGGTTGAAATCATAATAGCCAATCTTCTAATAAGTTCCTCTGACTTTTGTGTTTAAGTGTTTAGTTATGAATGTTTTTGAATTTGGACAGGACCACAGTGCATTCTTTCCTGTGCTAAAGAACGTCGTTTTCTACCTAAACAAAGTTATACTTGTTGCCTTGCAATGGATGGGGTTAAAACACTTTGTTCAGGCTTTGAAAAGTCTGAGAAGGTACATGTATCAGTGCTTCCCCTAATGTTACAGTTTTCGATAGTTAATACGTTAATATTTATCTCAAGTTTGTTTTTGTTCTTGCAGGTTAGGATTGAAGAACTAGTGACAGCCATGGGAGGTCATTTGCTAACTAGACACAACATGGATGTGAATTTTGTAATTGTGAAGGATGTCACGGCTGCCAAATATAAAGTAAGTTATCCAAGTTTTGAAAATCCCTGCTAATTCAACTGCAGCTAATGTTGTATGAAATGTTCTACATGCTTATCCTATACTATTAGATCCTATATAGCATTTCTTTTGTGAAAAGTAGTTCCTTGTTCCATTACTGCAGACAAAATCTAAGGTATTGTATTATATGTTTAATTCCTTTACTTCTCTGCGTATGCTCTGTGGTTCATGGTTCCAGTTTAATTAATTGATGCCACAAGTGCCAAAAGTAATTTTAAGTCTTGTTTCTGTTCTTTTGATACTTCTGAAGGCTTTTTAACCTAAATAAACCCAAAGTCTAGTTGGTCAAGATAACTTTAATCTTTTTTTAGTAAATATTTACCTTTTGACTTTTAAAAGAGCTCACCAGTTATCTAATGCAACAACAACAAAGCCTTTTATTCCCAAACAGTTTGGGGGTAGACCATAGTTTTAAAGGCGTCGCCTAGGCGTCCAGGCGTACCAACCACTCGCCTGGACGCCTAACCGCCTTTAAAACTATGGGGTAGACTAGTTGAAACCCAACATGAGCCACCAACAAAACAGGAAAAGAAAATAAATAAATAAATGTATAGTGATATTATTAGGATCTAAAGCATGTTAGTGATTCTAGCATGAGAGTAGCTGCTTTCAATGCATTCCTATCCATTATTTGGTGGAATAGTGCTGTCAGAAGTGTGCCCAAGTATTTGAAAAAAGAACTCAATTCCCTCATCATTCTGGTGGCTTGGGAGATACAGGAACACCACAATGAATTTTTTTTAAGGGTGCTAATCATTCTATGTCCATTAGTGTTACAGTCAATGGCAAATGAGAGTAGCTTTTGGTGCTTCAGCCCTCCACGAGTTACTCATCAGGTCACTTATCCTTGACAGTTAGGTCAGGGGGTGTGGTGGAGTTCGAGTTTTTTGATTTAAGTGACGGATCAGTAACTGTACATGTATGGGAGCTGGCCCACTAGCCTCTCTTTGTATTTTTTTCCTTAATGAAATTACGTGCAGCTCTCCTGTGTCATTTGAAAAAAAAGTTCACTCATTTTTACCCAGTTTCATGTATCTTTGCCTACCTGCTCCCTCCATAATCTTTTATTAGGCGCATGGTGATTTCTCTGTTTTGAGGTTATATTGGGTGTGGGGTACGCTTCTAGGCATGGTCCAGTGGATTTGAAGCGGCGTCCAATAGAGCATTCCGCAGTTACTCATGTGCTCAAATTCCAAGCGTTCTTTTCCATGCATGCATCCAATCGTGTACTTGCTTTTGGCTGTCATCCAGGGCTACGAAGCCTTGCATGCATGGAACCAATCAGCTGTAAAGACGTGGCCGCTGCAAGCCAAAGTTCCGAGCTTCATTAATCTTCTGTCTCGTTTCCTGCAGATCCTTGGTATCCGTAAAAACTCCTCACATGCCTAAGAAAAGATTATGGAGGGAGTATTGTGTAGCTATGATTTGTAGTAGAGTACTGAGGCTGTTATGCTGCAGCTAAAAAGCATAACTGCATGCTGCATCAGTGCTGCTAACTCCTTTGAACATCTCAGATGGCATTGATGCAAGAACTTACTTTCATGCTCTTTCAGCATTGGTACTGGTTGAGCTGTTGGCCTATGACTAATCTGGATGTGGCTGCTTCTTTTTGTGTTCGCAGTGGGCTCTGAATACTTTGAAGAAGCCCATTGTCACCATGAAGTGGTTAGAGCAATGCTGGATTGAACATCGTGTTGTACCTCATGAACCTTACAGGATTCTTCCCTTTACTGGGTTGAATATCTGTGTCACTAAACTGGATCCAGGTTGGTGCAGTTGAACTTTATTCAGCTTGGTGTGGGAAGTGAGTTCTGATTTTCCTCCCTTCAGAGCATGTTTTTTTTTCTTGTATGGTTATTGAAAATTGAAGGCCTGTTTGGATTTTGGAAGAGTAGGATTACTCTAGTAACTTTAAAAGTTCATATTTAAAGTAAATTCTTGGGATTTGGAGCCCAGTCCTCTGACATGCTCTTATGGTCGTTGATTAAAAGGTTGATACTTCCAAAATAAAATATCAACTATTGTAATGCTTTATATTATGTTATTGAATATGTCCATGGATTTGGTAATTGCTACCTGACCAACTTGTGCAAATACTCCACTTTCCATAAATTACTGAGGTTTCAGCTTATTGTGTGTTTAGTAAGCAAGCCAATGTTGATGTGGCATATTATTGTAACTGTTGCCCACTGGGATGTAATGCCAATTGCCAATAAAAAACACAGTTGTTTAGGGCTAGGGGTGTCTTTTGCATTACCTTGATAGTTTAAGGTGTCAAGTGCCTGGTTTTGAAGTCGAGATTTAATTTTTTAACCTACTAGGCAATAGTCGAGAATATCATTTCTCTGTTTCCACCTTGAAATTGGACTAGGTTTTTGGCAGATTATTTGTGTGGCGTGAATGTACTGTTTTTTATAGGCAGGTGTGGGTGTGGTATTGTACTCTTTGGTACGTTTTCTTCTTTATGGAATGACATGTTCTAGGCATTCGAGAATTTTTTTGGCAGATTTGTGATTGGGTTTTGTGGAGACTGACTATGATTTGTGCTATACCAATCCCTGTGGAAACTAAACAGAAACCTTTACTGGATATCAGCCTGCAATCAAACACTAAACCTTTAGAACTTTGACCCTTCTATGGAAGTATTTGGATTTACGTGAAAATGGTATTAATGGATTTGATGTCAGTAAGTCAGTTCACTTATAATATATATTCTAATGTCAAACATGTATATTGGAGCTGTATAAACCTAAATAATAGGTAATCCAGATGGTGGAGGTAGTGTAAGACATAATCTGCTGCTTTGATCTCTCTCTCTCTTCTTGCAAATAGAGTTGGCATTTGGTCACTCATTTGTCCAAATCCTCTCTCTGTGTGTGAAGATGGCAATAGGCTACCTCTAGTACATTAGTTGGTAGCTATTACATCGACCATGTCTTGGTAGTGGGCTGATCTAAGCTTTGTACCGCTAGTACTAGGAGTAGTTGGTGTACCTTAGGAGTAGGTAGTTGGTGTACTCACCAACAACTATGTACCTGGTAGAGGTACTAGCACTTGTATATATATCACACCTAAGGCAATACAAAAGAGCAGTTTAGTTTGTCACATCCGTAAGCGAGCTTTGGCCCGTCATTTGGGCTTGTCTTTGTGTGTGTGATTTGTTCTCAATATCTTCTTCTATCTTTAGCCATAGTGAGTGAGTGTCTTTGGTAAGCTTATCGCTTACTTGTGCAGGTGAACCGAGGGACCAAGTGGTATCGAGCAGTACAAGCGCCGTCATTGGACTAAACAACCACGACGATGACGGACGATTCGGAGATGGGCGAGCAAGAATGAGCTTCTTGTGGCTGCCCACTACTAACAGAGGTCGTCGTCGCGCAAGGTCGGCCGACACACGATTGGCCGACGCCGACTCGACCGACCGACTATGGCGATTAGGCGGTGACCATGAAGGTCAAGCTCGAGCTCGACGGCTTTGGAATGTCATTGACAAGGGCACCGGCAACGAAGAAGACATGTCAGTGTTGGAGGCTATACTCGCCGTGCCGGTAGTCTGTGGAGCCGTTGAGGCGAAAAAACTCTGCTAAGGATGCTTGGGAGGCCATTGCAGCGATGCGCGTCGGCTCCGACCGCACAAAGAAGGCGACGGCCCAGCTGCTGAAGCAGGAGTACGCCAACCTCAAGTTCAAGGATGGTGAGTCGGTGGAGGACTTCTCCCTCCGCCTGCAGTCGCTCATCAGCAAGCTGAGGAGCCACGGCGTCACCATCGACGAAGAAGAGGCGTTCTCCAAGTACCTCCACTCCGTGCCGGTGAAATATATCCAGATTGCTCTCTCCATATAGATGATGTTGGACTTGTCCACCCTCACCATTGAGGATGTGACAGGTCATCTGCAAGGCGGTGGACGAGCGCATGGGCGAAAGCCACGGCAATGACAATGACGGATGGCAAGTTGTCTGGCGACAAAGGAGTGGGCTACCCAGATGAAGGAGAAGAAGTCCGGGGAAGCCTGCTCCAGCCGCGGTGGCGATGGCAAGCGCTGCGGCAAGGCTTCTTCGGAGAAGAAGTAGAAGGTCGACCCCAACGCCTGCCGACGCTGCGGGAAAACGGGCCATTGGGCAAAGGAGTGGCCAAATCGCCAGCAGGAGAAGAAGGCTGAGGCTCATTTAGCGCAGGCTGATGAGGATGATGAGGCCACTCTCGATGGCGACGTTTTTGCATCGCATAACGTTGAGGCCAAGGAGAAGGGAGAGGTGATGGCGGTGGAAGGGCACGGCAAGGCTTTGAAGGTCATCAACCTCGACGAACCCGGCGGCCAATTCCACCTCGGGACGTGTGGGCGGCGGCGGGAGGCGTGGTGGTACTTGGACTCGGTGCTAGCAACCACATGACGGGCTCCAAGGAAGGCTTTTACGAGCTCGACGGCAACGTGACCGGCACGGTGAAGTTCGGTGACAGCTCAAGGGTGGCGATCCGAGGGCGCGGCACAATCATCTTCAGGTGCTAGAACGGTGAGCACCGCATGCTGACGGATGTATATTACATCCCGCAGCTGCGTTCAAGTATCATCAGCATTGGCCAGCTGGATGAGCGCGGCAGTGAGGTACTGATCAAGGACAACGTCCTTAGGATCAGGGACTGGGAGCAGCGTCTTCCTGCCAAGGTGAAGAGGTCCCGGAACCGTCTGTACCTGCTCGACTTGAAGGTGGAGCAGCCCATCTGCTTGGCTGCACGGTACACGGAGGAGCCGTGGCTGTGGCATGCCTGGTATGGCCGTCTCAACTTCGACGCTCTTGGTCGACTGGAGAAGATGGTGACTGGGCTGCCTCATATCGACCACGCAGGCGAGCTGTGACAGCTGCTTGGTCGGGAAGCAAAGAAGGCTGCCGTTCCCGAAGACGGCGAAGTACCGCGCGGCAGAGGCCCTCGAGCTGGTCCATGGTGACCTCTGCGGGCCGATCACGCCGGCGATGCACGGCGGGCACAAGTACTTCATCCTATTTGGTGGATGATCAGCCGGTTCATGTGGGCGCAGCCGACCAAACAAGACCGAAGGCGTGAAGCGGTCAAGAAGTTCAAGGCGCGTGCGGAGGCGGAGAGCGGCAAGAAGCTGTGCGTGCTGCGGAATGATCGCGGCGGCGAATTCACTTCGGTGGAGTTCGCTGCGTACTGCGTGGATCAGGGTGTGGTGAGACACCATACCGCGCCATACTCGCCATAGCAGAATGGCGTGGTGGAGCGGCAGAACCAGACGGTGGTCGGCATGGCTAGATCCATGATGAAGGCCAAAAGCATGCCGGCAAAGTTCTGGGGAGAGGCGGTGACCATGGTGGTGTTCATCCTTAACTGCGCGCCTACCAAGGCCCTGAAGGGCAAGACACCTTTCGAGGCTTGGCATGGATGCAAGTCGAATGTGTCCTTCCTCAGGACATTTGGCTGCGTCGGCCATGTGAAGAACACCAAGCCTCACCTCGGCAAGCTAGAAGACAGGAGCACGCCGATGGTGCTCCTGGGCTATGAGGAGGGCACCAAGGCGTATCGGCTCCATGATCCCAAGAGAGGCAAGGTGGTGATCTCTAGGGATGTGGTGTTCGATGAGATGGCGGCCTGAGACTGGGAGGGTCCGGGCACGGGGGAAGCTGGCAGCTTGAGCAGCACCTTCGTCGTCGAACACTTAGTCATCCACGGTGGTGAAGACGCTGGAGAAAAGGTGCCGACCACCCTAGGAGTGGTGCCGAGCGGTCCAGTAGCAATGCCGACTACTCCAGAGGGGGTGCCGACTGCTCCAGCAGTGGAGCCGACCACTCCAGGAGTGGTGCCGACCGCTCCAGCAGTGGATTCGACCACTCCGGCAGTGGTGCCGAGCGGTCCAGCAGCGATGCCGACCACTCCGGCAGTGGTGCCGAGCGGTCCAGCAGTGATGCCGACCACTCCGGCAGAACAGGGAGGCCATGGACCACCGATCGAGTTCACCTCTCCACCCACCAACATCGACGAGTACGTGGACGCTTTCCACGACGGCGAGGAGGTCTGGTTCAGGTGGGTGGACAACATCGTTAGCGAAGGGGGAGCTCCTGGGTTGGCCAGTCGTTTTCTCGACGACCCAGAGCTGCTCCTTGTTAGTGCAGAGGAGCCACCGACGTTTGCAGTGGCTGAATGCGACGCCAATTGGCGCTGGGCGATGTTGGAAGAGATGAAGGCCATCGAGGACAATGGGACATGGGAGCTGGTGGATCCACCGGTGGGCTGCAGGCCGATCGGGTTGAAGTGGGTCTACAAGGTGAAGCGGGACGAGCGCGGTGCCATTGTCAAGTACAAGGCTTGGCTCGTCGCCCGTGGCTTCGTGCAGCGTGAGGGCATCGACTTCGAGGAAGTCTTTGCTCCGGTGGCGCGAATGGAGTCTGTTCGCTTGCTGTTGGCCATGGCAGCAGCGAAGGATTGGCGTGTCCACCACCTTGACGTCAAGTCTGCGTTCCTCAACGGCGAGCTCGCGGAGACGGTCTTCGTCATGCAAGCTCCGGGCTTCGCCGTCAAGGGCGCTGAGCACAAGGTGCTCAAGCTGCGCAAGGCGTTCCACGGGCTGCGGCAGGCCCCTCGGGCGTGGAACGCCAAGCTCGACGCCACCTTGGGCGAGCTTGGGTTCACTCGCTGCGCCACGAGCACGTGGCGTATACCGCGCCACGGGGGAAGAAGGAGCTCGTCGTCGGCGTGTATGTGGACGACTTGATCGTCACTGGAGCGCGGGCGGAGGACATTGACGGCTTCAAGCGCGAGATGGCTGCTCGTTTCAAAATGAGCGATCTCGGCGCGCTCTCCTACTACCTCGGCATTGAGGTGAGGCAGGGGAAGGAGCACATCTCCCTGGGCCAACGCGCCTATGCGGAGAAGCTGCTGGAGCGCAGCGGCATGGCGGAGTGTAAGCCGTGCACAACTCCAATGGAGGAGGTGGAAGGCAGTGTGCGACATGGCGGCGAAGGTGGACGCGATGCGCTAACGGAGCATCGTCGGCGGGCTGCGCTACCTCACGCATACTCGGCCGGACATCACGTTCGCGGTCGGGTATGTTAGTCGCTTCATGGAGGACCCGCGCGAGGATCACTGGACGGCGGTGAAGAGGCTGCTGCGCTACGTCAAGGGGACGCTCGATCAAGCGATCATCTTCCCCAAGAGTGGCGGCAAGGGTGGGCTACGGCTCACGGTCTTCAGTGAGGCACCCCAAGGCAAAGGAAGGTGAGCCGGAGCTCACTGTTTTCAGCGACGCAGACATGGCGGGCGACGGAGCACCTCCGGCGTGCTCGTATTCCTTGGAGCGGCCCCCATTGCTTGGCAGTCGCTGAAGCAAAAGATCATGGCGCTGTTGACGTGTGAGACGGAGTACGTCGCAGTGCCCACAATGGCGATGCTTGTTGTGCCGCTGGGTCTGGCCGTTTTGCTAAGCGAAGTGACCGCGAGGAAGCTCTCACCCGCCACTCGATGGTGGACAACCACCGCCATCGCTCTCACCAAGAACCTCAGACTCATGATCGGAGCAAGCACATTGACATCAAGTTCCACTTCCTCCGGGACTGCATCGATGGAGGGTAGATCGTCATCGAGTTCGTCGAGACCGGCAGACAGCTCGCTGACATCCTCACCAAGTCACTAGGGCGCTTGCGATTCATGGAGCTGAGGAAGATGATTGGCATGGATGAGGTCAAGGCATCGGGTTAGCAACAGGATTAGGGAAAGAATTGTAAGACATAATCTGCTGCTGATCTCTCTCTCTTGCTGCAGCAGAGTTGGCATTTGGTCAGCTTGGCTGCCCAGTTTCTACTGCTGTAGCAGTATGGCAATAGGCCACTTCTAGTACATTAGTTGGTAGCTATTACATCAGCTATGTCTTGGTAGTGGGCTGATTTAAGCTTTGTACCACTAGTATTAGGAGTAGTTGGTGTACCTTAGGAGTAGGTAGGTACTAGCACTTGTATATATATCACACCTACTCACCAACAACTATGTACCTGGTAGAGGTACTAGCACTTGTATATATATCACACCTACTCACCAACAACTATGTACCTGGTAGAGGTGCTAGCACTTGTATATATATCACACCTAAGGCAATGCAACAGAGCAGTTCAGTTTGCCACATCCAGAAGCAGAGCTTTCGCCCAGTGCTGGGTTTGTGCTGTGTGTGTGAGCTGTTCTCAATATCTTCTTCTACCTTTAGCCATAGTGAGTGAGTGTGCTGGTAAGCTTACTGCTTACCTGTGCAGGGCAGCCGAGGGAACAACATGTAGGAGTTAGTCCAAGTGCAAGGTATGAACTGCGGGCTTTAGACACAGAACTTCCAACCCTCTGCTAGTGCAGAGCTATTGTTGATATTTATGGAAACTACATGTAACATATGCTTTATTCTGTTGAATTGAATGATCAGTTACTTCATCAGTGACGCTTTATTTTTCTTCTGTTTGATCAGATGAACGGAAGGAATTGGAGAAAATGGTAGTGCAGAATGGTGGCCAGTTTTCTCCCTGTCTCACACGGAAGTGCACCCATTTAGTCGCAAATATATCCTTTGATGCCTTTTGAATTTACTATTTTCTGTTTGAGATTTCAGTTGGTTTAAATGAGTCCACCGGAATAGATCTGAAGATCTAGCAAAAGTACCAGATTTGTCGTTAGGCCAAACTTATAATCCTCCACCCTGTATTCCTTTTCCATAGCCATAGTGCAGGAAATGAAATGTAGATGAATGAAAATATGACTAATTGAGCAGTCTGACATGTCGTTAAAACTGGGTGATCAATGGATGCACACCACAGTTGTGAATTCATGAAAGCCGTGTATCCATCTATCAACTGTCAATATAACAAAAAAAAAGGATAAAATCACTGAAAGAAATTACCACTGGCATTCCAGGATTTACTTAATGTTTGTTCCTGTGTTTGGGGAACATTTGGCTTGACATTTGTTAAAGTATTGTTCATTTTCCAAACAGCTTTCTAAAGGACAACACACTTTGCTTACTATATTGATTTCTTAACATATTATTACAAACCTGGAGGTGACAAATATGTCGTGGCCCAAAAATGGGGTAATATCCACATTGTGAATCCAAGATGGGTTGAACAATCTGTTGCTCGAAGAGGTACTAACATACCCAGGAGCTTTTGCTGCTACTATAGATTGTTCCTCCTGCAAAAGTTATAGATCTAGTAAAATTAATCTGACTTCTTGAATGCATTTTTTTATTGAAATGAAGCTTGTCAAGATGAAAATAGCTACCTCGTTTGTCAGAGTTCATCTGCTTTTAGTGGTTCAAAGAGTTCCCTTAAGGAGCAACAAAATCCAGAGATCAGTAGCGCAAGTGCAAGCTTTCAACCTGTTCCAGCAACATCAGTTGATGACTCAGTATCAATGTCACAATATTTGCCTGCTTCATTTGGCGATGCTGCACGGATCAGCAACACTGCAATTGTTGGCACACCTAGTGTCCAAGAGAAAAATGAGATGCAGGTTGATAGTCATGTTGCTGAGGACTCAGAGCCAGAAAATGATGATCTATATTTATCAAATTGCGAATTTCTCTCGTGGGTTTTGAAGAGAAAGAGTTGTTAAGGCTCGTCATGATGATACGCAATGGAGGTGGATCCGGCATATTTTTTGCTAAGTGAGAAGCTTACTCATATTGTTATTGGTAAACCTTCAGATGAGTAAGTTCATGCAACTGTTTCTCCTGTATATCCTAGTTCTTTTCTGGATGGTTTCAGTTGCAGCTGATTGTGCTTATTTGTCTTGACAGTGAAAAAAAGGAGGTAAGACGTCTGGCTGCATGGGGTGTAATAAATATAGTGAAAGTAACATGGTTAGAAGATTGCAATAGAGCAAAAAAGGAAGTGAAAGTATCCCCAATGCATATAGCTACTGAGCTCCTCTTGAAGGGTATGGAACCCACCAGATTTAGTTGTATTTAAAAGTTAAAACAGATATTATCCATGCTTAACTTTCAATGTTTTTCTATCTTTTGAACATAGGATTTTCACAAGTGGGCATGGAAAATTCTGCTGATACACGTGAAACTAAGGTAGCCAAAAGCTCAGGTTGGATTTTTCATGTTCCAACTGTCGATGACTTACATGACAAACATCATGAAAAAGATGTGTCATCTGAAAGAAAACCAAAAAGAGGCAAACATGAAAACAGTATAAGTAAAACCCGATCAGCAGCCAGGACTGCAAAATCAAGTCAACAGAATGGAATGGTCAATGTTAGCGAGTACCAGCCCCAATATCAAGTAACATCCACAATGAATTCTGGAAGTAGCAGATCAAATATATTCAAAGGGAGAACATTTAGTTTCTCAAATTCATTTTCTCATGACAAGGTATGCTACTTTGCTAATATTCCATCCATTTCCTGTATTGGTATCATTTGTGCCACCTCCCTTTTAAGATGACTCATGGTTTAACTTCATGTTCATTTGATCCCCTCTTGTTCCTTTTTTAGGTTTTCATTATCTATATATAAAGTTATAAACACCACCCCCCCCCCCACCACACACACACACACACACACACAGACAGAGTAGAGGTCTCCCTACTGTAAAAACATTCATTTTGGTGGGTGGTAGAAATAGCAATTAGGTCATGTTTTTAGAACTTTCAAATGCTTTTGCTGATGGATCAACTTGTTGAGACATTACTTTACACTGAAGTTACTGTATATAGTAGACCAGAGCCGAAAAAGCCTAGTCTTGCTCATCTAGAAGCCTAGTTTTCTTTTGATTATGTATAAATATTTGGCTCCCACTTGCTTTGATTTTTGTTGACAAAGTGGCTATGTTCATATGAATCAGAGACCTGAGGTTGTTGATTGGGTCAGAGATGGTGGAGGCGTTATGGTGGATGACAATGACATACAATCAACTGTTGTGGATTTCATAATTGAGTGCCATGGACAAAACAGCTTGCCTTGTGACTTGTCTCATTCAGCTGTTGTTTCAACTCAATGGATACGATCATGTTTGGAGGTACATGCTTCTGTGGTCGAGGTCACTTTGCTCCACTATGCTTTTGAAGTGTCAGTCTACATTCCAGTTCTTATACATTTAAAAATTTGTATAGGAGAACTGCTTACAAGATGTTGGGAGTCATCCTATCTTCTCCCCTTTGCGCTGTCGCATCCCGTTCCCAGGATTCAAAAGCTTCTATTTCTGTATTTCACAATATGGAGAGAAAGAAAGACAGCTGTTGAAGAACTTGTGCTTTCTACTGGGCGCTAAGTTTACAGAAAAAGCATATAAGAGAGTAACCCATCTCATCTGCAAATTTGCAAGTGGTCCAAAGTATGAGGTTTACACCAAAAGAGGAACTCCAACCATTACTCCCGAGTGGCTCTATGAGTGTGTAAAACAGGTATTCGTCTTCAATACATAGTGTTGAGCATATTCACGTCTTCCCTTCCCCCTGACAATGGCCTGTGCGCGTGAAATGGTTAACAAGATAGCGAATTGTCATTGCAGGATAAACTTCTCCCTGTTGATCACTTTCAACCGAAACCACTTACATCACAGGATCAAGATGCTTATGTGTGCACTGTCAGCCAATATTCCACGCAGGCAACCAGATTTGATTCCTCTGAGCTGCTTAATGGTTGTCAAGTAACAACAAACAATGCAACACACAATTCTGGTAATTGTTCATTTCACAGGTTCTGCAAAGAAATTATGTTCACCCCAAACTCATTGTGCTTGTATAGCTGGTGCTGGTATTTCTGCAGTTCATGAAGAAACAACTATGCCTGCTGTTAGTAGAAAGAGAAGAATATCTGTTCCTGGCAAGGTTAACGATACGTGCGGAAATATCGGAAGATCTGAGAAACACCTCGACAATAGCTCTGTCCCTGATGTCGCAGATGCCATAGAGGTTCTATCATCCAAGGTAATGCTAATGCAATCCATACACTTTACTATTACAAAGACTTGGGACATCGTCTAAATGCGACACATCGCATTTTTTAAACTGCAGATTCAGGACGTGCAATCTCCCAGGAGTGTATCCTATTTTACTGGTGATAAATGCTTTACTGTTCTTACTCCATACTGTACATTACAAATGCACTAGTGTTGTATCCTTAACTTCTGATGCAGATATTTGAACCTGACAATTCTGTTGTTCAAGAGCAGAAAGATACACACTCCTTTGGCATTTCAAGGAGCTGGTTGAACATGTAAGTTGGTACATTCTGCATTTTGTACGCGTGTATGTTTGGATAGATTTGGAATGCTACTTTCAGTTTAACAATGAAGCATTCAATCATCATTTCTGATTGATAGAACTTCCACTTCCTCACACAATAACAAAATGAATATTCACACAGCAACATGCTCACTCTATGACACCTATGTAGCAGAAAATTTTCATCTGGCAACTTGTTTGCAGTAAGGGTGTGTTTGGTTCTGGGATATAGAAGGCGGGATGGTCCTGCCCCTGCTTTGAGGGATGGGATCATCCCTGCTTCACGTTTGGTTTGGTAACTGTTGTTTATTTTCTCTAGGCAACAGAAGCAAGACAACACCCCTGACACAAAGGTTAAAAACTTAAACTCCACACCAGTCCCCTCCCCAGCTCCCACTACTTACTACCCTTTCAGTGAGACGCAGACGGAATCTCAGGTGTGTAGTCTATCCATTAATCAACATGCTCTACTCGGCAATCGGCAAAAGCATTGTCCGACTCATTAAAATCTGGTGTTTTCTGCAGGTCGTTGGATACGAAGAAGATTTAACAGGCAGGCAGAAGATCATAGACAGGGTTCGGTCTCAGAGCATTAATGTGACTCCCTCGGGTGAGATTCCTTAGTTGTGGAGGCGAACCAGAACATCTTGCTTTCAGCCAGATCTGACTGTCAAATTGCGATAGGGAAGACGTAATCTGAAATCTGCTTGTCGGGCAATGCTGGCTTCAAATTAAGCAGCATGGATGGAGTCTGCAAATACGGAGGCGTATTCCTAGCCAGAGGATCCGCGTAGCAAAAATCGAGGAGATTTTCATTGCATGGCATTCGATGAACGGAACCTCACGCTTACATCTTGAGCTTGTGGATGTAACGCCCTTGTTTGTAGAACACAGACAGACTCTGAACTACTGAACGCTTGTGATCCGTGTGATCCTGTACATTAACAATCTTGTACACTAGATCCAGGAGTAGCTAAAGGAGTCGACACATGACACATGCTCGCCCATATAATAATGTGTTTTGGTGTATACGACGAGCATGAAAGGAAGCATGTACAAATGTAACAATTCGTTTTTGATTTGATGCTTGTGTATGCATGCTCAATTAGTGGAGGTAGCTGGGCATGCAAGTTCCATTGTTCTGTTGTTGTATGCACCATAAATTTGCATATTCAATTTTGTTAAGTCACACCTCACGAGCAATTTGACTTCAACAGTACGGAAAATACGAAGAAATCTTGGCAGCTCCTGATCCTGTTTATTAGATATTTCAACTTCTCAAGTTGACTCCTGTTTTTCTAAGCTTATTATTTCATGGGCTAATTGGTTCATAGTAATATCATTATTAATGGAGAGAGAGAAATGATTCTCATCACAAGCAAAATAATGTATCATTGCCTTTGCAATTAATTCATAGCTCATACTAGAGTAGTTGCACACAATCACTTCTTTCCAGCGGCACCCATGAACCGAAATTTCTGCAGTACTAGCATTCTTTACCCTGAACATGGCACGCAGTAGTCGCGGCGCGACAGGCTCTTCAATGGGGGCTCCACCCTCCCCGACGGCAGCGTAGCACCGGCGCTGTAGTCGAAGGGACTGTCGCCGCCGTTCGGGTGGCGCGGTGACCGGCTTGGGTAGCTGACCAAGGAGCCGGACACCGAGTCGGCGTCTCGGCGTCTCGGCGCCGGTGCCAACGCGCCGGCAGCCTTTATGATGCGCTCGATCTCGCTGACCACCTCGCCCATGGACACGGGCGGTCGGCGCCGGCCTCCTCCACGCAGGTACGAGGTACGCACCGCAGCGCCAGGTCCACGTACTGCTCTAGCCCGGCCGGCGCCGACGGCGACGCGGCCAGCACCGGGTCCAGCAGCTCGTGCAGGCCGCACAGGTCCTTCCTTGCCCCGGTCCGCCGCCGCCCTCACCTCCCGGTGACCCGGACCACGTACTGGCCGTGCTCCAGCGGCTTCCGCGCGCCGTGATGATCTCCAGCATCAGCACGCCGAAGCTGTACACGTTGCTCTTCTCCGACAGGTGCTGCGTCGTGTAGTACTCGGGGTCCAGGTAACCCTGCAACGCCGCCAACACGTGTCGAATCATTTGTATAGTACAACAATGGAGCAACACGAGTTGTTGTCAAGCGATCGATCAACCAAACATTGTGCCCTTGACTTGAGTGGTGACTTGGCCCCTGCTGTCCAGTCCCAGCGGCTTTGAGAGGCCGAAGTGGGAGACCTTGGCGTTGACCGTTGAGCCGGTCGTCGAGGAGGACGTTGCTGGATTTGATGTCGCGGTGCACGACCGGAGGCGGAGGGTCGGCGAGCTCGTGCAGGTAGGCGATGCCCTTCGCCGCGCCGAGCACCACCCGAAGCCGCCGTCGCCAGTCCAGGCGCACGCCGGACTTGCCTGCAGTGCATACGCTAGCCGCTCAGCGGATCGGAAATGTCGCTTCCTGCTATGCTCAGCGTATCGGAAACCCACCGTTGAGGCTCTCCCTGAGCGTGCCGTTGGGCACGTACTCGTACACCAGCATCTGCTCGCCCTGGTCCACGCAGAAGCCGACGAGGGTGACGACGTTCTTGTGGTGAACCCTGGAGAGGAGCTCGATCTCCGTCCTGAACTCCAGGCTCCCCTGCAGGGACCCCTGCTGGGATCTCTTCACGGCCACCAGCTGCCCTCCCGGGAGCATCCCTCTGTAAACCTGCACGCAAGCATTCAGAACAGACAGCGGCTGATCAGAACATTCAACAAACTGTGATTGCCCTTGCCCCACTGTGGCTGCTTGCTTGCTTGATCAGTGATCACTTCACCTTCCCGTAGCTTCCGGTCCCGATGTCGTTCCTCTCAGAGAAGTTGCTGGTGATCTTCTTCAGCTCATTGAACGTGAACATGCGCGCCCCGTGTAGCTGGGGGCCAGTATTGTCGTTGCTGCTCTAGACTTCATGCCCCATGAACCTGCAGGTGATTGTGCTGCACAAAGGACAAAGCCTCAGTCAAGTCAGTGACTTCTATGCAGAGGCAGAGCAGAGGACTGGCGAGAGATAAGAGGGAAAATGAGGTGTTGACCTGTGCTACTGCTAAGTGCTAACTAACCAAAAAGGTTGGCTTCTCTGTTCAGTCTGCTTTGGTTTCCTCTTCCTTCTGGCCATGATGATCACAAGGGCAAGAACTGCTGCAACAACTCCGCCGCCCATCGAAACTCCAACAATCAGGGGTTTGTGGTTTGTCGTCTTCGGTTTTGAAGTTAATGCCACCTCTATGTTGAAGAATTGAGGAGTTGTTGAACAGACAGAGACATGAACGACGCTGATCAAGCTTAAGCATTCAAGTGTAATCATAGCATGATACGATATCTAATGTACTACAGTCCCTGAATCTGAATGTATACATGAATGATCTCACCATTGGCAAAAGTGTACGCCTGTCCAATGAAAAAATATGGGCCATAGCCGGTTGGTTTATACGTCTGGTTGCTCAGCATGAACCCGATGTCAGAAACGTCTTGTTCACTGAACCAGGTCTTGCCACTTGGAAACAACTCCAGGCTCATCTGCAAGTTGTTGTGCGCATTAAAAATTGAATCATGGATCGAGACCGAGTCCAGCGGGATGCTGCGTTCCAGGAATTTGCTCTTCATTTCTTGCTCTCTACGGATGAAGTACGAGCTGTTGCTCAGGTCAGAAAACGGCGGCGATCTGAAGAATATGGTGCCCTTGTACGGCACGTGGGCACGGCACAGATGCAGGTTGGGCTCAGCATCTGATACGACAGGCATGGGGGTGGCAGCGAAGAACAGTTCTTGGCAGTAGCATAAGGTGGCATCTCCGGATTAGCCTGTCCGGTGGCAGTGCAGTATTTCCGGTTGTCCCCTTGTTGGCAAATAGGATTCCCCACCAGTCTGTAACAAGATGGATAGCTGACGTCAGAAGTGAATCAAATAGAGCTAGCACTGACCACAGGCTAAAATGTTCTTACAGGAGTATCTGGTTGTATGGTGATCCCCCAATAGCGTACTCTTCGATCTGGTTGTCTTGCAAATCGATCAGTTGGAGCTGACTACTGAAGTCTTATCTGATAGTCATGGTGCCGTTGAAACGGTTGCCCGGAGCTTCCTGCGATTGTAATAAGGAAGTTGAATCCAGGAGACTGTAAGGGGAGGCGGTAGCACCGATTACATAATCATAGCAATTTTGTATACTCTTCACTGTGTCTGATAGATGGAAACTCTTATTTATTATAATCTTCTTCACTTCCATCTATCAGGTAGCGTACTTTGTTGCAGTGTGGATAGTTTACTCACAGTGTCTGAATTACAGGAAGGCTGAAGAGAGCTGGTGGCAGCAGCCCGCCAATGCGCAGATTCTCAAGGTATCTACATTCGTAAAAATTCAGACGAAAGTAAAGGATTAACTGAAGTTTTTTATTCCTCGAATACACAAGAGTGTTAACTGAAGTTTCAGACAAGAAGTGTTGCATTTAGAGAATTTCAGACAAAAGCTTGTGAGATCAAAGCTGAGAGGGTCACAGTGAGGTCAAAGATGGCAAAGTGGCGAACCAGGCCGGAGCATCAGATGCATTGAAGCTGTTGTTGCTCATGTCTCTGTAAAAATTGCAAAAGATTCAGAAGCTGGATGCTCATGTCTTATTTCAAAATGGAAAAGGTGAATTCCTACTTACACAAAGCTGAGCGAAATCATTCCAGTTAAATTTGGCAGTGGGCCAGTAAGCTGGTTGTTTTGTAGATGGCTAGTGATAAGATGAAAAAAAAAAAGATAATACAGTGTCGTAAGCTTACCCTGCATAAAAAAGTGGAATTGATAATGATCGAAAGTGTACTGCACTTACAGTTCTGCAAGCTTGGTGAGATTGTTTATGTTTGCTGCCAGTAAGCTTGTCGTAACAACAATTGCTGCAACTGGCCCAGTCAAATTGTTGTTATCAAAACGCCTGCAACAATAAAATTTCATGATCAGAAGCAAACCATAAAACCATATAACTAAATTTTCATTATGTTTTTTTAACAAGTTAAACAATTGTTTTCCTTAATCATGATTATGTAGGTGAAGTACTTACAGAACTTCTAGAGTATTAAGGAGACCTAAAGTAGATGGAAAGCTGCCTGAGAAGTTGTTGTTATCAAGAAGTCTGAATACATGTAACAAATCAGCCACCGTTTCAGATTCAGAAAAGGAGAATGTCAGGGTTAGTCATGGATCAGGCTCATATGTGAGTTGAAAATGTGGACAGGTATGGTGCCTGAAATTCATGTGGCTGCAACAAAATGGTGCACACACATTTTTTTTTGAAGACAACACCGGAGGGGTGAGAGGTGCACGCACATTTCATCATCAGTGGTAGGAAAAAAAACCATATATCAGGATTTAATAAGAATTCACTTACAAGTGCATTGTATTTGTCAGATTATCCAACCCAAGGTTTGTTCCATCAAATATGGGAAGTCCATCGGTGAGTTTATTGTCAGCCAGATCAAGCCAGTATAGCTTTGATAGGCTGCCTAGAGATGGTGGGGGTGGCACCGCTGAGCTTGTTGGAGTTCAAGGATCTGCAGTCAGAGTACAATGAAATTTCCTTCTATCTCATTGTGGCTGTGAACAGGGACTAAT